GGACAAATTAATGTTGGCATTAGTTGCGACTGGTAGGCTTCTTGGGGGATGATGACAGATGATGTTGGCCACGGCTGAAAAACAATGGGACTCCGAGACTGGACCTGCCAGAGTAGTGACTGTTGTACGTGGCGGACACTCGTATGTAAAGTGAAAAGCGAAAACACTCAGAAAACAAGTGATGAGAGAATAAACAGTCTTCGAAATGTTGACTTGTCCTTCACGGACCACAGACTGCAGTTCTATCTGACCCACTCAAATGTCAGTCAGCTTATTCATTTTTACTACACGATCAGCANATGAAGTGCAGTAAAGGGGTCAATCCCATCATTATAAAGCCAACTGTACAATAGGGAAGGGAAACGTCCGTCAATAACAACTTGGTGTTTCTGCGCTTGAACACAGAAAGCTTATAAGCGAAAGGAAGAGTGCGTTCTTTAGTTCCGATATTCTAGGAATAGAATGGCATTTAGACGCCATCGATTAACAGGCTTTTAGAGCCAACGGAGTGTTGCTGATCCAGTGCTCATTACCGCTACGCTTGGACAAATGTAATCGGGTGGTACCACAGCAGCGAGCTCAAACGAATCAAATCTGAGGTCATGATAATGTAATACCGATATGAAATTGACGGGGGAGCGTTCCTGCGGCGATGTTCATCTAGTTGAAGGGCAGATGCTATGATGGGCCAACAAGAAGGCAAATGATTTCATAAGTGACAGAAGACCGGGGTGGGAAGGCCTCAGACTTGGCTGTAATGTCTTCTAGTAGGTCGTATTTGAGCTGTAGAAAGAATGAGACCTTCACAGGGGTTAAAGACTGATTGTGATTTCCCACAACGCCCTTATGTTTATCCGATGTGTGCAAAGTTAAGCTGTACTGGTGAACGTGTTCTGCTGTTCCCACTGCTATCACGCCACATCATCCGGGTGTTACTGCTTGATTTAGGTTTACGCAACTACCTCCTGCCAGTCGGCTCCATGGATGGCAAAAATAATCCATGACAATTCTTGGGAATGGGATTGCAACCGGTGTCCCCAGAACCGTTCACCTTGTGATAACCTCTCACTTTTGCGTACTGCAATGCAACATGGATTGCAACAGGGTTGCTTCAGACAGGTCTGTAGCCGGTAGTTTGATTTATTCACATACTGTGGAAAGCTATGCTCGATGCGTGTTGGAATAGGACACTGGGCATTAGCTTTATTGTGGCGAATCACGTTCAGCTTATAAAGCACTTTTGTCACATTTACGGGAGGTTTTATAGAGGACGCCTGCCAAGTGAGTCCACTATCTCCTCGGGTACTGCCGCTACTTCCCCACGGTTATTTATTCAATGAGCCTTATGGCTAGCCACCCATCTAGAACTGGTTGCTCTTTTATCGTGGTATTTAGCTCACAAGTGCTATGGTGATTTATTCTACTTTCAAGTTCAAAGTTTACTTTGCGGTTATTTATGCATTTATCAGTCCCATGTGCTTTTTGGTCCATTCGAACTAGGACAAATCAACCATTTTCTTTTCCTCTCGGTTACACTCCGGTCCCTTACCACACTCCATTTCGCTCATTCTCGTCTCGCTTCAGGTCATCCGTCCTGTTTGAAAATGCCGGACGATCTTGTAGCACGTATTCGGCTTCTTCGGTGGTTCTGTGTAGATTGCAAACGATGCTGTTTGTGCCAGCTGTCTAAGGAACCGGTACCACTCCAGTCCGGTTCGGATGTGACCCAACTGCTCGCTGGATCGACTGACGCCTCATCCGATCGAGATTTGCTCCTGTGCGACTCGTGTGATCGAGGCTTCCACATGTTTTGTCTCGAGCCGCGAATGTCTGAGTTACCTGAAGGTTAGATTTTCTGCCTGTTTTTCTATCCAGTGCTATCCGCATTATTAATTTAATCGGTATGACCATAATGGGAGGATATCAATGCTCGTAGAAGTTTTGGTTTGGTTGCAGTTTGGGTTACACTCATCTAAGTTATAGAGTTTCGTGCGCAGGTTCGATTCTTGTCCAACTGGACTTTCTTTACTTTATTTTAATGCGACCGGCTCTTCGGAGTGGATAAGCCGGTTCCATAGTGATCATGGATTTTCATGGAAGTTTAGTATGAGAAACGTTCCCAGCGTCACTCGATGTTTTTTTAAGAGTGCAACTCTAATTGTTGCTCAACCATTTGCGGACTGTAAGACAACGGTGTTGGTGCATGTTTGCCAGCGGCTCCGTAGGGTCCATACATCTATGTTAGTCGGGCAGGCTTCCTTCATAGCCGTTAGATCAGGTGGTAGATCTCGTTTGCCCGTTAAAGAGGGGCTGCTTTCACATGCCTTCACAAGCCTTCTACCCATGGTTTTTATACCTCGGTTACCCTCAACCTGGTTTAGTCCGTCTGTCGAGCGATTTGCCGGGATGTGTCCGCTGTTGGATGCTTCTGCTTCGTTGGGTTACGGGTGAGAGTTGAGTACATGATGGAGATCAAAAAAGAGGAGCACGACCCCAAGGAGGCGATATTTTTCTCACCGGGCTGTGCTGCTCATATCAGATATTCCATACATCCCCTATCTGTAGATGAATCCCAACAGGAGGGCATCACATGTGATACATAACACAACAATCATTCATCATTGTCTTCGGACTTACCGCTTTTCATCATAGGGACTATTTCTAACAGCCAGGTGTTTTCATCTTTCAAGAACTTATGGGGCTAGCAATACCGAGGTTTAAAAAAGCTTACAGTAGTCGCAATAACACACCGTGAATTCGAATAATTTGATCATACATCACACTTCTCATGGGTGCAATATTTGCCGAAACAGGTAATCGTTGGTGAAAGAACAAAGATTATATGGGGTTTGAAAACCCTGACCAGTTGACCCCCATCTCTAGGTGGTATTAAACATCCTGGTTGTGGACCTTGTGATCGGGCTAGTCTATAATTAGGGACACTGTGCTATGGCTCCGTGTGGTAAACAATAGCACTCGAATATCTACTCTCTACATAGTTTACCTGATTTCTGAGTTTTCATTTGATAGTACTTTCAGCTTTCAACCCTTTCATTTGCTTCTCCCTCGTTGGTTTTCCATATGGGTAAATGAAAGAAAGTAATCAAAACCCGCGCACGAGGGTACCAGGTTAGTCATTGTATCAACTGAAAACTAAACTGCATATTGCGTCAAATCGAAAAATTTATTTAATTTACTGATTGGTCATCGGTTGTCGTAAATCATTTACTCGGCAAGCTAGACTTCTATTTCCATGCATAGTGTCAAGTCTTACGGTCACAGATTTATATTATTCAGTATCAACATGTTGGCTATCTTGCCATGAAAAAATCACAATTTAATTTCTTTTGTTGCTTCTCTATATTTCTTCATAGGTAATTGGATTTGTCCCATCTGCACTCCTCGTGTGGGTTCCAAAGAAGGCAGTTTCACTTCGCTTGATCCCCGGTTGGATGCAATTCGTGTATGCGATCAGCTCACACAGCATGAAATTGACTGGATGCAACAAGAGTTGAATGCATCTGGGAAATCCTCACCAGACACCCGATCCCCAAGCTCCGTGGATTCTTCCGCAAGGAAAACTGTTCGACCGCGCACTGTGCGCAATTCACGACTGTCACTTCTTTCATCATCTTCCCCTCGCATGGCACTATCCACTACCCCGTCCACAGTTCTCGCTTCATTGTCCTCCAAAGCAGAAGAGCCTCCAGATGGGCAAACCGAGCTCTATGATAACTCTCCTCTCGCCCCGAAAATAGATCCCACATCCCAGAGCAATGCACCAAAACCGAAACGTCTGGTACAGAAATCCTTAACCTCGTGGGCTGTAACTCAGTCACGTGAAGAACCCGCGGCCTCACTTTCTATCAAGACGGAATCGCTCGAGCAGCGTGTTGAGACTAAGGGTACGTGTCTGCTTTGTCCTTTTGCAGTGCGGAAATCTGATTTAGCTTTATTCCCAAATCTGATACACCAGTCCCGGTGTTTCACTTATAGTTTTCACTTAAAACTAGTGATTACTTCTGAATAATCTCAGTCACAGGTAATGCAACACCGCGCCCGTTCACCTCGAACCATTTCATTGAACAACCAAAATCCCAAGCTTAATACTCTAAAACCATAAATCCCCTCCGTTTGGTTACCCAGATGATAAGGAATTGGAGGACGTTCTTCTTTCTACTTACCTTCTCAGGAAGAGTTCCTG